TCTTATAGCTTAAATTAATCCATTTCAATAAATCTATACCTTGCCACGTGGCGGCGTCTTTACATGTTTGTCATAGCGGCGCTGGCAGTGTCTCTCTCTGCCTTCCTGTTCCCTTAATTCTCTTCTCTGTTAGTCCTGCCTGTACTTCCTGTCTGGCCACTGGCCAATCAGTGTTTTATTTATTGACCAATCAGAGCAATTTAACATACGGACCATCCCACAGCAGCCAGATGTATTGGATCCTCCTGGTGCTAGAGTTACAGGCAGTTCTAAGCCACCAAGTGTGGATGCTGGGAAGTGAACTCTGGTCCTTTGTAAGAGCAGTACATGTTCTTAACTGCTGAGCCATCTCTCTAGACTTGTAACTGTGAGAGTACATAGTATACCCTCAACTTGCTGAAGTATGTAAACATACATGTATTCATGCATTTTATCACTTCATTTCCAGGTTGTTAACCGTGAGACCCTTCCCATTATCTTTTTTAAATTAAAAAATATTAAAATGGGGCGTGGGGTGGTGCTGGGGATTGGACTCAGGGTTTCATACATGCCAAACGTGCTCTACCACTGAGCCACACTTTGAGCTTCAAAGGTAACCTGTGATTGGTATTTTATAATTGGTTCTCCTATCCATTGTTTTCAAGGCAGTTAATTGGGCTTTATACCATGGCTCACAATCCTAATATGACCCATTTGAAGATTCAACAGCCAGTTACTGCCCTTCCTCCTCTTTGGGTGAGATGTGACAGTTCAGATCCTGAAGGTACCTGTTGGCTAGGAGCTGAGCTTGTCACAGCAAATGACATCATTACAGGAGTTGTCTTACATGTGGTCACTTGTAAAGGTGAGTGCTCAGTCTTGGTCTAATTTATTTGCATAGTTGTTTTGTGGTACTCCTGCATTTCCATATGGGAGGGAATTGTAGTAACCTAGAGTATTGAACTTTGAGTTTGTGCTTAGCATCAATTGGGGAGGAGGAATTGCAGAAACTCCTGAAAATCTGGACAGGTTATGCCCTCTTTGTTTGGGTTTAAATTAATTTGTACTTTTTTTTTTTTTTTAATTTAAAAGAGTAAAAACCAGATTCTAACTGGAATATAATCATATTTTTCCCTTTTTAGAAGGGGTGGGTTGAGGCAAGGTTGGCCTTGAACTTATTTTCTGCTTTAGCCTTTGTGAATCCACTACCTGAATACCACCACCCAGACCCTCCCTTCCTTCCTTCCTTCCTTCCTTCCTTCCTTCCTTCCTTCCTTCCTTCCTTCCTTCCATCTATATATCTGTCTATCTGTCTATCTATCTATCTTTTAGTTAGTTAGTTAGTTAGTTATTGGTGTGAATTCTTTGCAAGCTAGTCTTAAACTCATGGGCTCAAGTGAGTCTCCCACTTCAGCCTGCCAAGCAGTTGGGACTACAAGTCCATACCAGTGTGCTTAACTATTTATTTTTCATATATATTTGTGAGTGTGCATATTTGTTGTTTGTTTATTGAGAATCTTATAGCCCAATCTGAGCTCAAATTCAGTATCCTTCTGCCTCAGCCTCCAGTGTAGCTAAGATTTTAGATGTGAATTTCCATGCTTGGCTGTAATAACATTCTTTTTAGAGATAGGGTCTCACTGTGTAGCCCTGGTGGACCTGTGCTCAGTACATAGACCATAGTGGTTTGGAACTCACAGACATCAACCTGCTTATGTCTCTCTCTTTTTTTAAAAATAACTTATCTTTGTTTCATGTGCATTCATGTTTGACCTACATGTATGTCTGTGTGAAGGTGTCAGATCCCCTGAAACTGGAGTTACAGGCAATTATGAGCTGTCATGTGGGTGCGGAGAATTGAACCCGGGTCCTCTGAAAGAGCAGCCAGTGCTCTTAAATTCCGAGCCTTTGTCTCTTGAGTGCTAGTGTTAAAGGCATGTGTCACCATGCCCAACTAATTACATTCTTTGGATCACAGTTCCTCCCCAGCTCCTCCCAAACCCCCCCATCTCCCTACCCAACTCCCCTTTCTTTCTCTATTAATACTTTTATTTGTTTTATTTTAGTTTTTTTTGAGACAAGATCTCTGGCTATCTTGGAACTCACTGTGTAGACCAGGCTGACCTCAAACTCTAAGAGATCCACTTGCCTCTGCCTCCTGAGTGCTGGGATTAAAGGCCTGTACCACCACTGCCCAGCATAACTTTATAATTTGGAATTAAATCTTAACTTTTTTTTTTTTTTTTTTTTTTTTAATTATGTCCTGTAGCTGATAAAAATTACTCTGAAGATCTGGAAAATCTAAAAAATTCACACAAGAAACGACATCACTTGTCTGCGGTGAGTATTTGTCTACTTGGCTTACTTACAAAGAGCTTGCTTGATCTGCCTTCCTAGCATAACAGCTTTCTCCTCATTCCCACTGTGACTAGGTGTTTCTCTAGTGTCAGAGTATTTGTATTTATTTTTATATCAGCCAGGGTACAGCTGTTCTTTGGTATCTACGGAGTTGGTTCTAAAATCATGCTAAAGTACTAAAATTTTGTGCTTGAGGCTCAAGGTTGGTAGACCCCTTAGATACAGTACCCACATATTGTATATGTGCAGTGTTGTTGCTGAAAAGAATTATCCTTTATTTTTATTTGGGATGACAGTGTGATGTATGGTGCTCTTTTCCTGTTGGGACAGAAATCATTGCGATTTTGATCATGGTTTGGTTGTATGAAGTTGTTGCTAAGGATCTTCCTGTGACCTGTCTTCAGGTAACAGCCAGAGGATTTGCCCAGTATGAGCTGTTTAAGTCCACTGACTTGGATGATATTGTCACCCCATCACAAACTACAGTCACTTTGGATCTTTCCTGGAGTCCTGTGGAGGAGATTCTTCAAACCCCTCCCCTGTCTTCAACTGCAGCTCTGGTAGGAATGGACTCTGTCTTCTCTTTGGGTTGCTCAGGCTCCTGAGTGGTTTACTTGTTTATTGCTAATGCTGTATGCCATTCACTGGTTGTTAGGCTGTACACTTAGAAAACCTTAGCTGGCTCCTGGGGTCTCGGCAGACAACCAATTGAGCTTTTGCCCGGTACGGTGAGATGTCAGTTGCTCATAGTAACCCTGTTACTGTGGAATTTGACTTCAAAGATGATTGAGGTCTTTTGTGGGAGCACTCAAGGGTAGTTGACTTCTTTCTGTTCCTGGGCACAGTGACACACACTTTTAATCCTAACACTCAGGAGGAAGAGGCAGGAGGATCTTAGGAGTTCAAGGCCAGCCTGGTCTAAATAGTAAGTTCCCAGACAGCCAGAGCAACATAGCGAGACCCTGTCTCAAAAAGGGGAGAGAGAGAGAGAGAGAGAGAGAGAGAGAGAGAGAGAGAGAGAGAGAGAGAGAGAGAGAGAGAGAAAATAACTGAAAATTGCTAATAAAACCCAAAAGTTGATATATAAGATACTTGGTATTATATAGCTGAGTTGTCAGAATATTAAGAACAGAACCTGCTGAACATGCAGTTTAAAAAATGGTGAAAATGAGTTTTTATGATGAGATGTTATATATATGTTTTTAAAATTAGATCTCTTTTTGGTATTGGAGATTGACTCTAAGTCTTGTGTATAACATAATAGGCAAACTTTCTCCCAGTGACCTATGTCCCCAGCTTACCCCCTTTTTAAGATTTCTTTATTTCAATGTTTTTTAATTATGAGTATGTGCATGTGAGTGCAGGTGCCTGCAGAGGCCAGAGGTGTTAGAGTCCCCTGGTTCTGGAGTTAAAGGTGATTGTGGCCTTCCCAACATTGGCACTGGAAATCGAACTTAGGACCTCTGCATGAGTAGTTTGTGCTCCTAACTACTGAACCGTATCTCCAGGACAACACCCCATGCCCAAACCAAGCCTTTTTTTTTTTTTTTTAAATGAGGCAAGCCAGGTGGCACATGCCTTTGAACTAATGCCAGTATCAAACAGGTTGTTCTCTGGGAGTTTCAGGCCAGTCAAGGATACATAATGAGACCAAAGGTCTTATTAAGTTTCCTTAGGTTGGCCTTAAACTTGCTTGTTAATCCAGGCTGGCCTTGAACTTGTGACTTCTTTTCTTAGCATCCAGAGTAGCTGGGATTATAGACCTATAGCACTAGGTTCTACAGGCTTTAAAAATCTTGTTTTAAGCCCAGTGGTGGTGATACACACCTTTAATCCCACCAGCACAGAGGCAGAGTTCCAGACCAGCCTGGTCTACAGAGCAAGTTCCAGGACAACCAAGGCTACACAGAGAGACCCTGTCTTGCCAGGTGGTGATGGTGCACGCCTTTAATCCCAGCACTTGGGTGGCAGAGGCAGGTGGAGCTCTGTGAGTTTGAGGTCAGCCTGGTCAACACAAAAAATTCTAGGACAGTCAAGTCTACACAAAGAAACTCAGTCTTGGGGGGTGGGGGGTGATTCTATGTTTTAAAAGTCTAGGGCTGGGGATATAGCTCAAAAGTAAAGTACTTGCCTAGATCCAATCCCTAGACTGCATGGTGTAGGGGAAGGTATTTAAAAAGAAAAGGAAATGTTATTAAGCAAAAGTTACAAGTATATAGAATAACATGTACAACTGTGGATGTCAAGTATGTTTTGTTTAAAAAAAAATGTATACCCAAGAAGCCTACATAGCATTAACAACAGTGGTTCTCTTGGAGGGAAGGATTGTGGGTAATTACAGTTGTGTTTTCCTTCTCCTGTAGTAGGGATTTACCTACTTGTTTTTAGCACTTAAGGTTATAAAGCTACAGCTCCCGGCTAGACTAGTGCGCTGATTTGGTTAGGAGTCTGACACAGTGACTGCTGTGACTTCATTTTCAGTGTGTCAGAAGGCTAACAATCAATGAGTTCTGACTAGTTATTTAAATATGGCCTCCATTTAAATATGGAGACACCGGTCTCGCACCGGTGCTCTTGGAAATTCCCTGAGGAAAAGCAGAAGAGCATGTGAGGGAGGCAGTTGTTCCATCTTCCTGGTACAGAAGAGGGCAGTGGCCTGATTCGGGGTGTATATCAGGATGGCTGGATCTGTAAGATCTCAGGGTCCCGTGTTCTCAGCATGGCATGGGCCTAATTTAATTGATTGGTGCTTTATAAAACGTGTGATTGAAATGCAAGTCACAGTGACTCCTGGACAGAGAAGGTGTGGTTGCCAGTGAAAACTGATGGTCTTCGATACTTTTTAGAACATCCGAGTACAATCAGGAGAGCCCAGAAGTTGTTTGAATCATCTCCACAGGGAGCTGAAATTTCTCCTGGTGAGTATCCTTCTGGAATTTTTGTCATTGAATTACACATGAAATTGTCATGAAAATGTTTCACATTATAACTTTGATTTTCTTTAAAATCTGTTCTAAATGTTACATTTCATTATACCCTGGACAACTTGGACAGTTACTTATGTGGCAGTTGTCCTCAAATGAAAGGGAACTCCACTTAGCTAATAGCTCCCTACACTCTTTGCCTTTCTACTTGACTGGCAGAATTGTACAAGCCAGTACCACAATTAGATTTTCGGGGCTTTTTGTTTGTTTGTTTTTTAATTTATTTTGTTTGTTTATTTATTTATTTTGGGTTTTTTCTCTGTGTAGCTTTGGAGCCTGTCCTGGAACTTGCTCTGTAGATGAGGCTGGCCTCGAACTCACAGACATACACCTGCCTCTGCTTCCCCAAGTGCTGGGATTAAAGGTGTGGCCACCACCGCCCGGCTATTTTATTTATTTTTTTTAAGATTTATTTTTATTTTATGTGCATGGTATCTTGTCTGCACATATGTCTGTGTGAGGGTGTTGGATCCCCTGGAACTAGAGTTACAGACAGTTGTGAGCTGCCATGTGGGTGCTGGGAATTAAACCTGGGTCCTCTGGAAGAGCAGCCAGTGTTCTTAACCACTGAGCTGTCTCCTCACAATTACTTTTAAAACATTTTCATCACTCCTAAATGAAACCTTGTATCCATAGTACAGGTTAGCACTCACTTCACAACCTTGCCCACCTCTGGCAACCACCAATCTACTTATAGTATTTGTTCCCTTTGATTGTCCAATAGCATCTCATTGTATGGTTATACTCCATTTTATTCTCCCTTTCATCAGCTGATAAACGGTTCAATTTCTTTTAATTTTTTGGCTATTAGGAATAATATTGCTATGAACATTTATACAAATTTTTGTGGGAATATGTTTTCTGCATCTCTGGTGAAATTGGCAACTATGTTTAAATCATTCTTTCCCCTGACACACCACACAGAATCACAGATGTGTAGGAGTGTGTGTACGTGTGCCTGTGCATGTGCGTGTGTGTGTGTGTGTGTGTGTGTGTGTGTGTGTGTGTGTGTGTGTGTACAGTCTTTTCAAAGTCAACTCTTTTATTTTAAAACAGATAGGATTTTTTATTCTTCTGCAGATCTGCCCTCTCCCCCTTGTTCTCATCTTTTCGTCCTTTTGACTGCCACCTCTTTTTTTCCTTTTAAAATTATATTTATTTGTTGTGCCAGTCAGTTACAGCCCTTTCAGCTCCATCTGACACACTCTCAAGATCATGCATTGTTTTTCAGTGGAGACACTGGGAGCATTTCCCACTGTCCCGTTCTTTGTGATTTGGACCATCCTCCACACAGCAACATGTTTAACATCCCTAACTTCCACCAAGTTATTTTGACACGTAAAAAATTATCTTCAGCCGGGTGGTGGTGGCACATGCCTTTAATCCCAGCACTCGGGAGACTGAGGCAGGCGGATCTCTGTGAGTTCGAGGCCAGCCTGGGCTACAGAGTGAGTTCCAGGAAAGGCGCAAAGCTACACAGAGAAACCCTGTCTCAAGATTAGGGGGGCAAAATTATCTTCATCTTTTCCATAGACCCTTTGGAAGTAGGAAATGATCTCTTTTCTGTGGAAACGTTTTTTTCTTTTCTATGGGAATAAAGGGATTGCTAACTGTTGATCCTGTCATTTTATTGTTACAAAGTCAGTGAATGGTAGATAACATCTCTTATATGAAGCAAAAAAAAAAAAAACTTGGGAAGTTTCTCAGCTTTTGGTGAATATGCCTGCTCCTTCTGTTTCCTGCTCTTTGTTCACTCTGGTTGGAGTCATCCCTCATGATCTTCCCCCTCCCTCTTCCTTCTGTAGACTCTGCTTAGATTTTGGTGTGTGCATGCATGTGTAATTGTACTGTGTTGGGATAAACCGTGCTTTCGTTGTTCCTTCACCTGTAAGTATCTCTCTTTACCTGGGGTCACGTGTTGTTCTTGTGTGTACAGCATTATCATTGAGAATACCGTTCTTAGAGTCAGCCTGCTGGATGTGCATCCTGTACTATTGGTAGTAACTGTGTGACTCTCAGTTAGTCAGCCTCAGTAAGATGAGGTTAGTAGTAGTATTTATCTCAAAGTTTTGTTGGGATTAAATAGCACACTACATACAAAATCCTATGACAAATGCCTAGTGAGTGGTCAGTAGTCAAGAACCATTACCGTAGGGCTGCAGAGAGGACTGACTCATCAGTTAAGAGCACTTGTTGCTCTTCCAGTGGACCTGGGTGTGATTCCTAGTAGCCACATGGTGCCTCATAACCACCTGTAACTCTGTTCCCAGCTTATCCAAGGCCCTCTTTTGAACTTTGCAGTCACCGGGCACTTATGTGGTACACAGACATATATGTAGGCAAAGAACTCAATACATGCAATGAAATAAGTGAATCTAAACCATTTATTTTAAAGAACTGCTACCGTAACTGATACTATTAAATACATCCCTAGTAATTAAGCTATGATTTCCGCTAATGTGTTTCCTGGCTGTTAAATTGTTCTACAGGTTTTGGCTGACGGCTTGAGGACTGGTGTAACTGAATGGCTCGAACCTCTGGAAACAAAATCTGCTGTTGAAGTTGTGCAAGAATTTCTGAATGGTGTTTATTTTCATAAACTGTTCTTGTTTGTTGCTTGCTTTTAATTGAGTACATTTGCTTACGGTATTTAAATAACAGTTGTCTCGTGGCTTTATATAGCTTTGAGTTAGAATACATTAAAGCTCTGATCTGATCTAGTTGGAGGGGACAGCTTTGGTTCTGAAGTATCAAAGACAGATGTTATTATTAAAATTATAAAATTTAGTTTGGCCAAGCCTGGAAGCACAGGCTTGTAATCCTAGCTAGTTGAGAGGCTGAGGCAGAATTGTTAGCCAGAGCTACAGAGGGAGTTCAGTGCCAAGTAGACAACTCAGTGAGACTCGTCACAAAATAAACACAGGAGTCTAAAGGGCTGGGCGTGTAGCTCATAGTAGAGCACTTGCCAACTGCACCTGGGTCTGATCAGCCTTCAGGACTGCAAAGACAGAGACCGTTTACATGGGAATTCACGTAGCATAAGTGGGTTTGAGATTGTAGGAGAAGAGTGATCAAACAGTGTCTGAGGGTCTTCCACGTGCCTATCATTTCCTGCTTGAAGGATAGTTACCATAGTGGTAGTTTACTAAAGTCCTGCTATTCCCATTTGCTACTTGAAAACAGGATTTGGATGGAAATAATATGGAGAGCAGAAAAATAAAATAAAATTAATGAGCTTTTTCTACTTTCTAGACTTAAATAAACTAGATGAATTTGATGATTCTACAAAAAAAGACACACAAAAAGAGGTAAGCAGTTACTATCAGTTAGAAACTTAACCTGTGGGCTGGCGAGAGGTCTCAGTGGTTAAGAGCACTGGGTGCTCTTCTAGAAGACCCAAGTTCAATTACCAGCACCCACACAGCAGCTCACAACTACCTATAACTCCAGTTCTAGGGGATCTGACACCCTCACACAGACTTACATACAGGCAAAATACCAATGAACATAAAGTAAGAATTAAATAAATCATTAAAAATTGTTTAAAAAAAAAAAAGAAACTTACCCTGCTTTTGAAATTTTACCTTTTGTTTTGTAGCCTCTCAGATCTCCTTCCATTCTGTATTTGTTTTTGTTATTCAGCTGCAGAGAGTAGAAACAGTTATGTTAACAACACACTGTAGAGAGTATTGCTATAGTATATGAATACAACATAAAACGCTGTCATTATTCTGAAAAGGAAATGGAGACAAAACAAGATAATAAATGTTTCCATGTGGAAAGAAAACCGAGAGCTTGCTTCTAAGCAGTAGAGTTTGGCTGTTGTTTGGCGTTTTGGTTTTTGTTTTGAGCTGGGGTTTTGCTGTGTACCTCAGGCCAGCTTCCAACTCCTTTCACTTGTGCTTCGGCCTCCTGAGTGCTGGCCTTCCTTCATGAGGATGCACTGCCAGCGTGTCTGCTCGGGACTATAGACTTCAAACAGTTCAGGACCATTACAGTGTGTCTATTCCAGTGTGTCTCCTTGTTAGTAAAGGAAGTTGTGTGGATAATAACATATCATTCTTTGTATGTGTTCACGTCTTCACAGCTCTCAAAATAGTGTTTAAAGCTTCAGCTACTTCACTTTAATTAAACTGGTTTGCTTCTTTTTCAGACAGTGAACCATGATGCAGCTGCAGTTGACAGATCTGTGCTTATCACAGTGCGAGAGGATCTTGATTTTGCTGAACAGCTTTGGTGCAAAATGAGCAGCAGTACGTATCCATCATAATTTAAGTGGGCTTTTATTTGTTTGGTTAAGGTTCTTTTTTTTTTTAAATTTTATGTATATTGGTGTTTTTTGTGTATACTACGTGAGATCAGCCTGCTTATACAGGCCAGAAGGCAGCTTCAGATCCCCTGGAACTAGTTATAGATGGTTGTGAGCCACCATGTAGGTGCTGGGATTGAAGCCCAGCACTGTGGAGGCAGAGACAGTTGTATCTCTGAGTTTGAGGCCAGACTGGGCTACATAGTGAGTTCCAGGACAGCCATTCACAGGGAAACCCTGTCTCAGAAACAACAACAACAAAAAGATTTGTGTCACCATACCCAGCTTCTCTTGCCTTTTAAAATATAAAAACTTGCTGGGTGGTGGTGGCGCACACCTTTAGTCCCAGCATTGGGAGGCAGAGGCAAGCAGATCTCTGTGAGTTTGAGGCCCAGCCTGGGATACAGAGCGAGTTCCAGGACAGGCTCCAAAGCTACACAGAGAAACCCTGTCTCGAAAAACCAAATATATATATATAAACTTGCTGGCTAATGGTAGTGCACACCTTTATTCTCAGCACTTGAGAAGCAGAGGTGGGCAGACCTGTGAATTCGAGACCAGCCTGGTCTACAGAGCGAGTTCCAGGACAACCAGAGCTGTTACATAAAGAAACCCTGTCTTGAAACCGTTCCCCAAAAATAAAACAAAATGTAAAACTTAACTATGTTTACATGAATCAAAACATACCTGAATAAAATTTAAAAAAAAAAAAAATGTTCCTACCAAATGTTATTTGCAATCTGAGCTTTTTGTTTTTTTCCTTCTCAATTTTAAATTCCCCCTTTCACTACTAAAGTGCAGATTTTTGCTTGTGTTATATGTGTCATTAAAATGACACTTATGATCAGTAGAGATGTGGAAATGATTTCTGTGTGACTTGATTTTCAAGGTGTGGTTTCATATCAAGACTTGGTGAAGTGTTTCACGTTGATCCTGCAGAGTTTGCAGCGTGGTGATATACAGCCTTGGGTAGGTTGAATGGTATAACTAGAATGTTTTTCTCGGTGCCATATACAAACCAAATCAAACCAAACAAAAAGAGCATGTTTGATTAAACTCTGATCAGTCTGAGTTGAACTCCAACTCTGCTACTTTCTAGCTGTATGAACTTGGGCTCTTATTTCTCTGACCCTCACTGCCCTCATCTGCAGTGTGAGGGTGGATCTACCTGCATCATAGTGTTATGTAGGGGGGATTGATCTAATGTATACACAGTACCTAGTGCCTGGCACATAGAAGCAGCTGATTACTGTTAACTGTTCTGGGAATGAATGTTTTCATAAGCCACTGATGAGACAGACTTACAAACTAGGATGTTCTTTTTCACAACGGTTTTGATGATGACTTGAGATTCTCTAAATGTAATAGGACATTTGAACAACTAATACTTGTGTTAGATCTACCCTGCACTCATGCACAAAAATATATACCAAGGCTGTGTGTGGTAACACATTCCTGTAATCCCAGCATTTGGGAAGCAGAGGCAGGATGATCACACATGGAGGTCAGCTTGGGCTGTCATGAGACCCTGTCTCAAAAACAAAACAAAAAAGTAGATTTTTGTCCATCAGAATACTTAAATAGTTTTGTTTCTAGCTGCCCAAAACAGTAAATATGTACATTTCCCTTGCCGATGAGATTACTAAGTAGCAATACTGTGGCCACATAATGTTATATGTAACAGTTGCTAAAACAGGGTTGACAGCAAAGGATGCAAAATACACTTAACTGTATAAAATGTAAATTTTGAAAAAGACAAAATCTAGGCCGGGTGGTGGTGGTGGTGGCAGCGATCGCCTTTAATCCCAGCACTCGGGAGGCAGAAGCAGGCGGATCTCTGTGAGTTCAAGGCCAGCCTGGTCTACCGAGTGAGTTCCAGGACAGGCTCCAAAGCTACACAGAGAAACCCTGTCTGGAAAAAACAAAAGAAAAAGACAAAATCTGAAACCAGATGGGCTAAATTCTTAGTAACAGCCACCTGCGGGAGAAGCCTTACAAATGACTGTGCTCTCTGCACTTGAACTTTCTGTCACTGTGTGAATTTTCTAAAGTGTGGTTGTGTTACTTTTACACTGAACAAAAAGCAAAGGAAAGGGTGAGAAATAGCTTACTGGGAACCATTTTAAATAATGTAGCTACCAGTTCATCATGATAAAAGTGAGAATAAAAATTCTGTGTGAGGCCCTTAAGTTTGATCCCCAGCACTAGAACAGTCACCTGCTTTGCGTGTTGTAAAGACAAACACACAGAACAAGCACAAGAGCTCGCAGGCGGGCAGTAGCCGCTGTGGGTGTTTACACGTGACCTGTTGAAACGAGTTTCTGTGTTTGTGGTGTTGAGAAGCATGAGCCTGCTGCGTGCAGTGGGTGCAAACCAAAGGAAACTAGAATGTAAAGAGATCGAACGAGAAGAGGAAAGCTGACGCAGAGACCAAACAGTAGGAGCAAGGTGACGTTCTAAAACTTGTTTAACATTTGGTGCCTAAGTTAAGTCTGAGTTGATAGCTCTTTATAATTTGTAAATTATCAGTTGGATGTCAATTAATTATAAATTATCATGTTGGGTGTCACAGTTGAAAAGTAACTTGTCATGTGTAGACTGTGAAGAGCAGAATTCATGTTCCTTCAAGAGTCTACTTGCATTGAGTGAAGTATAGAAGTTTAGTTCTGAAATCACTTGTAAGCTTCAAGGACCAACTCTGACTTCTGGATAATTAAGCTTATCATTTTAGGCCTTCCTTAGCTGCTTTGGATTTTCAGCACACAAGGGAAGTAGGAATAGCTTTTCTTTTTCTTCTTTTTTTTTTTTTTTTTGTTTGTTTGTTTTAAAGATTTATTTATTTATTATGTATACAATGTTCTGTCTGCATGTGTGCCTGCAGGCCAGAAGAGGGCACCAGATCTCAGTATAGATAGTTGTGAGCCACCATGTGGTTGCTGGGAATTGAACTCAGGACCTCTGGAAGAGCAGTCGGTGCTCTTTACCTCTGAACCATCTCTCCAGCCCCCTTCTTTTTCTTCTTGGTTTTGACAAAGTTAGAGTATCAACCTGACTAGTAGCTGAGGATGATGACCTTGAACTTCTGGTACACCTGCCTCTACCCTCCGAGTGCCGCCCCTTCCTGTTCATAAGGTGCTGAGGATGGAACCCAGAGCTTTGGGCATACTAGGCAAGCACCCTAAAGCCACATCTCCACCAGGAATGGCGTCTTAGAAACTCAGGTCAGTGCCTTTAATTCCAGCACTCGGGAGGCAGAGGCAGGCGGATCTCTGTGAGTTCAAGGCCAGCCTGGTCTACAGAGTGAGTTCCAGGATAGGCTCTAAAAGCTACACAGAGAAACCCTGTCTTGAAAAACCATTAAAAAAAAAAAAAAAAAAAAGAAAAAGAAAGAAAGAAACTCAGATTAACTTGAGGGCTTTTAGTAAAACAATTTATAGTGTTAGGAGGCTAAAAATGTAAAATTATAATTTTGAGCTCCTAGTCTTCTTTTGCTTGTTTCATTTATTTACACTTAGATTTAAGAACTGATCAACTTTTTTCTATTTCTAGTTGCACAGTGGGAGTAACAGTTTACTAAGTAAGCTCATTCATCAGTCCTACCATGGAGCCATGGACAGTGTCCCTCTCTCTGGAACTACTCCACTTCAGATGCTTTTGGAAATTGGTTTGGACAAACTAAAGAAAGATTATATCAGCTTTTTCGTCAGTGAGTCCTTTTTCCAACTTGAAAACCTGTCAATTGCCACCCATAAAAACTCTCAGATTTGTACCTTCCTAGTCATTGTAGGTCTGGCTTTGCCCTGTTGGCTGTGAGACAAGCATTTGTCTTCTGAGCCTATTTCCCACATGATAAATATAATAGGTTAAAGAGAGCTATAGTGTTCACTTTTTGCTTTTAGGTGTGTGGTTTTTGTTTGTCTGTGTTTTTTTTTTTTGTTTGTTTTTTTTTGTGTGTGTGTGTGTGATATATTTTTTATTTTACAATACCATTCAGTTCTTGTGTTTTGTTTTTTAATGTGTACTTGTGGCGGTATGAGTTCTCCCTTCCACCATGTAGATCCCGGGATCAGATGGGAACATTTGGTGGCAGGTACCTTTACCTCTGGAGCCATCTTATTGTCCCTAGTTCAAAGATTTTTTCACTACTTAACACTTGATACTTTATTTATTAGGGGCAAGCTATGATCAGTTTTAGAATAAGTATTAGTATGTATTTATGATGTAATTGAGGAACTATTTAATTTAATCACCTCTTTAATATATGAACTGTGAAACTTTTTCTTAGGTTCCTTTTTTTTTTAATTTTTAAAATTTTATTGGAAAATACCTAAAGCTTATTTATATGTTTTTCTTGATAGGTCAGGAACTTGCGTCTTTGAATCATTTGGTAAGTTTCTTTCTCTTATGTTGTCATTCTGCACACAGTGTTAAGTGTCGGGAGTGTGCCAGCCTCTGTCCTAGGTCCTAGGAAGATCAGGAAGCCAACTGATGTCAGTTATTACTAGTTCCTAAAGTACAGTTCAAAGTAGCTCATTCTGTTACAAGGAGAAATTCCTTTTCTCCTTGTATTTATGCAACTGACATGTAGTTTTCTTTTGTTGAAGCCAAGGTTCTGATGGTTAGGGAAGCCAGTATACCTATGAAGGAGTATTTATGTCCTTTTTTTTTTTTTTTTTTAAATTTTATTTATTATGTATACACACACCAGAAGAGGGCACCATATCCCATTATAGATGGTTGTGAGTCTTCATGTGGTTGCTGGGAATTGAACTCAGGACTTCTAGAAAAGCAGCCAGTGCTCTTAACCTCTGAGCCATCTCTCCAGCCCGTATTTATGTCCTTTTGACTCATTTGTTTTACATTTTTTTGGGGGTGGGGTTTTCGAGGCAGGGTTTCTCTGTGTAGTTTTGGTGCCTATCCTGGAACTCACTTTGTAGACCAGGCTGGCCTCGAACTCACAGAGATCTGCCTGGCTCTGCCTCGCGAGTGCTGGGATTAAAGGTGTGGGCCACCACCGCCAGGCTTGTTTTACATTTTAAGGATTATTTGCTAAAGAAGTTAGGACATTCCAGCTGGGCACACACCTTTAATCTCAGCACTCTGGAAGCAGAGGCAGGTGAATTTGAGTTTGAGGCCAGCCTGTCTACAGAGAGAGTTCCAGGACAGCCAGTGCTATACAGTGAAGTCCTGTCTCAAGAAACAAAAAAACAACAACAAAAAAAAAAGGTATGGCATTCGTTAGTGTATTGGCTAAGGACCAGTTTCAGGTCTTATAGGTTGCTGTCAGCATTAATCATGCAGCCTTCCCCGAAGCATGACAGTTTATTCTTTCAGAGTGAGAGTGAGTGGAAGAGCATCTCCTGTGCCTCTCAGTCTTCTAAATAGCTAGTCTGGGCAGATTTTATAAGGACCTGGTGATAATCTCCCTTTGATTAACAAATAGTCTATTAGTGACCTAGTTATTGCATTAAAACCACATCAGGTTTGCAAGTTCTAGGCTTTGTCAAGGGGAAGGAATTATACAGAGTGTACAATTCAGGAGACTAGTCTTGAAGGGTATTGTCAAAGTCTGCTTATCATTTCCACTATGGATTATTAGTTTGGGTCTCAGAAATAGGACTGCAAAGATGGACATTTTATGGTTCTGGCTTAGCTTGCCAAATTTCTTCTGCAAAAGCTGTGCCGGTGTACTAGTAATATGTCCTAGAGGGGGTTGTCACTTGGTTAGTTTCTCAAACTTCGGTTCACCAGGTATGGAGAGATTGAAGAGTGGTCTGTCTTATTAGTACTTCATGCCCCCCCCCCTCCCCCCAGTAATGTGTCCCCTTAGTGACGCAGCCCTGGGATTAGCGGCTATGGGAGACTGTGTACCATTGTTTGCCTATGTCCTTCTTAGTAAACACCTGAGTTCATTTGTTTGGTTTTGGTTTTTCAAGACAGGGTTTCTCTGTGTAACAGCTCTGGATATCCTGGAGCTCGCATTGTAGATGAGGCTGGCCTGGAACTCAGAGATCCACCTGCCTCGGCTTCCTAAGTACTAGGATTAAAAGCATGAGCCACCACCACCCAGTGTGAAGACCTAAGTTTAAAGGGTAGTCATGAAAAATGGTGAATTCTGTGTCGTTGCCTCTCCTCCCAACCCTGGTATCAAGCATCCAGATTTAGAGGTAGAGGGAATGGCCATTTCTTCCCAGAGCTTCTGCTTAGACTTTGCCTCTTACTCTCTTTATACTTCTTTCTTTCCAGGAATACTTCATTTCTCCGTCAGTAGCTACACAGGAACAGGTTTATCGTGTTCAGAAACTCCACCATATTCTAGAAATACTAGCCATCTGTATGCTTTTCATTAAACCTCAGCATGAACTTCTCTTTGCTTTAACACAGTAAGTGTTTTTTTCTTTTTGCTTTGAGGCATTGTCTCATTTGTAGCCCAGGATGGCCTCAATCTCAATGTAATTCTCCTTGCCTCAGTTTCCCAAGTGCTGGGATTACAGGTGAGCCACCACAGCAGTTTACAGTGAGTATTGCTCTGTTGTTTGCTTACTTAAAATCTATCCTCTCCTAATGCCGTCTTCTAACAAGTGCAGTTAAGAGTTAAGAGCACTGGCTGCTCTCACAGATAACCAGGTTCTGTTCCCAGCACCCACATGGAAGCTCACAAACCGTCTCCAGCTCCAGTTCTAGCGGGATCTGACACCCTCTTCTGTTCTCCTTAGGCTCCTGCTTGCATGTGGTATGGTACACATAGATACTCTCAGGCACACACATATATACATAAAATAAGTCTTGGTCTTTTTTGTTGTTTTGCTTTTTTTAATAGTCACAGTTTTTATTACTAGTTAGACTAGAACCTATTTGCCTTGTCTTTACTATAGTGCCGCTTTAGGTCAACATTATATGAAGGAACGGCTTTGGATTGAAAATACTCAGAATTGACTTTTTCTCACCCCTGGCTTCATTAGGAAGTTTCCTCTCAATGAATCGTATTTCTTCTGTAAAAAGGATATACTAATTCATTTGACTGCTGAAGGATTAAATGGTGTATCCTATATATAGTATCTGATCCATCTGATACTTAGTAAATACTGTTGTATTCTAATTTTAGAAAACAAGTTCTATGCTCCTGTAAATTTGGATCAGACTAAGCCAACCGTCTGTGATGGCTGAAGGAGATCCCCAGGCCTGTCAATAGTATGGCTGTACTTAGAGCTGATCAGTTTGACTACAGGCAGTTTAGAACAACCCTTGTATGTGAAGATGCTAGGTCTTACTGGGAATTGGAGAATCATTTATCTTTTCCCAATATCTTTAAAGATTTATTTATTGATATGCATGTGAGTGTATGTGCTATGTACACTCCTGTGCATGGGCACAGAGGCCAGAAAAGGGCCTCTGGTGTTCTTCTCTATCATTCTCCATGCATTCCCTTTTTGACTTATTTTTTAAAAAATTTTTGGCTGGGTATGATGACACATGCTTTTAATCTTAGCTTTCAGGAGGCAGAGGCAACTGATCTCTGAGTTCTAAGTTCTACATAGGCAAGTTCAAGGCTAGGCAGGACTACATAGTGAGACCCTGTCTAAAAAAAATTTTTTTTTTTTTATTTATTTAGTGTATATACACATGCATGCCAAGGCGTTTATGTGGCAGTTATAAGGACAATCTGTCTGACCATGTGAGTCCTGCAGTGTGAGCTCAGGTTGTCAGATTTGCAGCAAACACCTTTACCAATGGAATCATCTCACTGCCCCCCACCACCCACTTCTTCTTTCTGAAGCAAAGTCTCCCCACAACCTGAGGCTTGCATTTTCTCACATAGGCCGGAAGCCAGCAAGCCCCAACAATCCTCCTCCCTGTGCCTCCCAGCTGAGTTGGCATTGCAGACATGTATGGAATGTCCAGCTTGTTACATGGGTTCTGGGATCTGAACTCTGGGCCTCATATTCCATGGCAAACCCTTTTAACTGGTAAGCCATCTCTCCAAATCACATTATCCAAATTTAGAATTTGCATCAGTTATGAAGGTGTAAAGAGGAATGCTACAAGCCAAAAAAATATACAAAGTAGGATTTCAACTGATTATGACAAGGCTAATATCTGGAAGAAGCCAAGGGCCTTCCAGAGGTCAAGCTGAGGCTCAAGGAGCCTTGGTGATGTTGGCTTTTGATTATCAGCTGTTTCCTGCTATGAGTTTCTTGTGTGCTATTGTAGTTTTTCCATCATTGGGCACCATTTCCCCTCTACTAAAGGAATATTTAGATAACTTTCTGTGCTGACAGCTATACACAGCCGGAACCTCAGTTCAAGCCTCCCTGTAATTATCATCATTGGCAGCATCCGGCCAGGTCCATCCCCAGATGGAGGAAAGTACCTTATCAGAGATACCTCTCTACTCTCTAAGAACAGACTTAAGCGTCCAGACTACCCATTTGAGAAGGCCTGGCGGATGTGCCAATTAAGCTTAACTTCCTCCTTTTCCAAATCTTACCTCTAGTTCCAGATCTCCCTTTAACTATCACCAGAGGCATCTAGCTATACACAGGTTGCCTAGCTACCTAGCACACTTTCCCCCACCCTGAAGAAAAAGGTCAGATAGCTTGAACAGATAGGAGATATGGGGAAAAAAGAAGGCAGTTTTATTTTCTCCCATTGATCTAGCAGCTTATAGATTCTTAACATGTTCTACCAATCACATTTAAGATTATAGTTGAGCACATAAGATCCCTCTTCTTAGCTATTACCTGAATTTAGCCTTTACTTAATTCATTTCCCCCTTAGTCACTTCCCTTTTGGGTTGTAAATGATAATTAACAACTACTGCCCCTCTGTGTGAGTCTTACCACCCTTCTGTTTGACCTGGAAGCCTGGCTTTGCACTGCCAAGGGATTACTGCTTGTAAGTGTATATATACTGGGACTCCCAGGGCACAGGAGGAAGAAGATTTGGAAGAATAAATGACTGGACTAAGAGCTCTGTGTGCTGAGATTCTATTTCCTGAAAATAGTCCTCATCATTCATAGTTCTCTCTCCTGAGCCCCTGGGATGTATAATATTAAGGCTGGCCCCTCTAATATTATATAAGAGAGGAAAGTTTGAAATCATTATTGCTTATCCAATCTGAAAGGTTTTTTCCATTGTTGAAGATTAGTACTATAGACATACTGGCGGTGTAGCACAGTGGTAGAGCATTTGCCTAACATGCATGAGGCCTTGGGTTGATTCCCTAACACTAGAGGCGAAGCGGGGGAGGAAGAGATGGAGAGATAAATGAAAAAAGAAAAGATCAACAGTATAAATGAATTAGTTTTTTAATTCCCTGGATTCTGGCCAGGAGAGTTGGTTCGGCAGGTGGTGCCAAGTCCGAGGACCTGGGTTCAGTCCCTGGGACCCACATAGTAGAAGGAGAAAACCAACACCTCAGAGTTGTTCTCTGATCTTTCTACAGATATACTTTGAAACGGTAGCATACACACATACACACACTATAAATAAATTTAATGGTTTAAACTCCCAGGATTCTGAACGCAATGGAGTCTATATTTGTCTCTCCTGTACTAATTTTTCTTTCAGATACTTCCTTCTTCCTATTTAAGTCTGTATTTGTGCTCAGTTGGGAACTGAACCTAGGACCTTACCTGTGAAAGGCAATCTCTCTACCACTTAGCTACATTCTTAGCCCAGTTGTTTTTGTATAAGAAATCTGTCTACTATAATTTTTTTAAGTGAATGAGATTTTCTTGAACATAAAACATAATCTAACTTTTATAAGCAGTGGGGGTGGGGGTTGTTTGTTACTATTATGGCTCTGAATTCATTCCTTCTGTTGATTTCTGGTTAGTGATACTCAGTAAAATGTTATTCTAGACTATAAAGCCTTTCTTTATTTTTCTGATTGCTCTTATTCCTTAAAGAGATTGCTTTATCTTTCTAGATCCTGCATAAAATACTACAAACAAAATCCTCTGGATGAGCAACATGTTTTTCAGTTGCCAGTCAGACCAGCTGCTGTAAAGAATCTGTATCAAAGGTGAGAAACTTCATAATGACATCGTACTTCATGGGCAGTTTGGTACCCAGTTTCCATGGGATTTTGTGACCCAGCATGGCTTAACCTCTGGACTTTAGTCTTTCCCTATTTCTTCTCCCAGACTTCGTGTCACTTAAGACTTCTGAGCCTCTAGTCTTTGCTCTGTCACCAAATCACGGGAGAAATAATAGAGGAAGGGGAAAAGCTGGGGATAAACAGGGACAGCAGGCCAAGGATGTAGCTGTGGGATTGAGAGAATTGTGGCTGTTCACTCTGACATGCTGGAAGTGCTCATCTCCCTGTCTTTTCCTTCCTCATAGCAGCTTCTTGAAGCTTCTGTCATACTAAAAATATGAACTGTCATGCTCAGTGATTAGTTGATTTTGAGATGGGGTCTTACTATGTTGCCTAGGCTGGCTTTAAACTTCGTTGACCTCTTTCAACTTCCAAAGTATTGGAATTACAGCCATGCACCACTATGTCCAGTTACTAATGGCCTCTTAATTTGCCAAATTAAATGGACATGTTATTGAAAGAATGTTTTGGCCTTTAATTCTAGCAGGTGCCTCATGAGTTCCAAGGCCAGCCTGGTCTACATAGCAAGGTCCACACCAGACAGAACTACAAATTGAGACAGTGCCTCAAAAAGGGTGGGCAAGGTAACGCACTTGGTGGAAGTTCCCAAGCCTTGTGACCTGAGTTCAACCTTGGAGCTCACATGGTTAAATGACTTCCACAAGTTGTCCTTTGACATCCACATGTATACTCTGCATGCATACTATGGCATACACACACCCATACATGGACACTCACACTTACACTAACTAAATAAATAATAAATAAATAAATGTTTAAAAAGGGATGGGTTTGGGAGATGACTCAGCTGGTAAGAAAATCACTCACTGCACAGCTCTTGATAACCTGAGTTTTTTGCTCTTTGGAACTCATGTAAAAGCCATTGTAATGGCCAGGCATGGTGGTGCACGCCTTTAATCCCAGCACTTGGGAGGCAGAGGCAGGTGGATCTCTGTGAGTTCAAGGCCAGCTTGGTCTACAAAGTGAGATCCAGGACAGGCAGACCTACAGAGAGAAACCTTGACTTGGGGGCAGGTGGGGCATTGTAGTGGCTTGCATCACGTAAGCATTGCATTAGATGGCAGAGAGAGACAGGAAAAACCACTGAGAACCCCAATACTCATTAGTGTACAGCAGAAATAATGAGAACTCTGTCTCAGAAACAGAAAACTGACTCTGTAAAAGTGGTCCTCTGACCTTCACATGTGCTGTGGAACATGCCTGTCTGCACTCACACACTAAATCTTTAAAAGTTTAAAAAATACTTATTTATTTATTTATTTATTTATCTATTTGGTTTTTTGAGGACAGAGTTTCTCTCTGTAGCCCTGGCTGTCGTGGAACTCGCTTGGTAGACCAGGCTGACCTCGAACTCACAGAGATCCACCTGCCTCTGCCTCCCAAGTGCTGGGATTAAAGATGTGTGTCATTACCACCCAGCTAAAATATGTATTATTATTATATGTGTTCATGTATGCTACATGTGGGAGCGTGCAGGCTGTGGCGTGTGTCAGAGGGCAGCTTTGTAGGGTCCATTCTCCTTTGACCTTTCCTATGGCTCTGGGGATCAGACTTAGGTCGCCAGCCTTCCATCACCTGGCAGCAAGCCCCTCTACTCACTGAGCCATCTAAATGGCCTCAAATGAATGTTAATTTTCATTACATTTATTTATTATTTACGTGTGTGTGTGTGTGTGTGTGTGTGTGTGTGTGTGTGTGTGTGTGTGTGTGTTGGGTCGGGTCCTGTAAGCTATGGGACACGTGGAAATCAGAGGACAACTCACAAGAGTCAGTTCTCCCCGTCCATCATGAAACTCAAGTTACCAGACCTGTAACTGCTGAACCATCTCTCCTACCATGATAATCTTTTTAAAATTTAATTCATTCATTAAAATTTTAAAAATTCTACCTTCTTTTGTAATACTTTTTTCTCCTCTTGTGTTTTATCTTTCAAATGGACATCATTAATCACCTAATGCCTAAACCACCCTCGGTTGACTCTTTTTCCTCACTTTGTCTTTTAAATAGTTACCAATCTTGAGTTAACCCTTACACACACACACACACACACACACACACACACACACACTGTTATTTCTTTGGAGGAAAATAGGGAGATAGAAGTAGGGTCTCACTGTAGCTCATGCTGGCCTTAAACTTGTGATTCTCCTGCCTCAGCCTCTCACGTGCTAGAATTACTGCATATAACACAACACTTGGCTTACACGGTGTTTCTCTATTACTGCTTTATATATATATAAAATATAACTTACTTCTATTTTGTGTTCATTAGTGTTTTGCCTGCATGTATACCTATGTGAGGGTGTCAGAAGCCCTGGAAAAGGAGTTAGAGACGGTTGTGAGCTGCCTTGTGGTGCTGGGAATTGAACCCCGGGTTCTCTGGAAGAGCAGCCAGTGCTCTTAACTGCTGAGCCATCTCTCCAGCTCCAGTCTATTACTGCCTTTTTAAAGATTTGTTTCTCTGCTGGGCAGTAGTGGTGCATGCCTTAAATCTCAGCACTAGAGAGGCAGAGATAGGCAGTTCTCTGAGTTCGAGACCAGCCTGATCTACAGATCGAGTTCCAGGACAGCCAGGGCTACATAGAGAAATCCTGTCTTGAAAAAAACAAATCATCAACAGCAACAACAAAATTGTTTTTCTTTGAAATGTGTATATGTTCTTGTCTGTCCCAGTCTCTTGACTGTACTTCTCCGGGGCTCGCATTATGTACTATTTATATCCCTCAGTGGTTGTCACAAAAGGATTTCCCTAAGTGACTAGAAGGGAGGAAGGTAATAGCTGTTAGTTGGTCACTGGTAGTTTATTTATTTTTGTTTTGTTTTGTTTTTTTCTTTAGTGAGAAGCCACAGAAATGGAGAGTGGAAATAAGCAGTAGTCAGAAGAAGGTGAAAACAGTGTGGCAGCTGAGTGAAAGCTCCCCTCTAGATCATTCCAGTTTTCACAAGCCTGGTAAAGATGACTGGTAGTCAGTTAAGTCTTTCTGGGAGGAATCATTGTACAGGTCTTTTCCTGAACTGTAGGTAGGAAACATACTTTAAAGGAAAATCTGACTGCCAGTGTGAGTCTAGTAATCACTAACAAGTGCTTGTCCTTATTATCCTGGATAAAAGAGCTTTACTGAGTGAGGGCAAGAAGTAGGGACAGTGATGAGATGGAAGTATTAGCTCACGCTTTATGCTGTAACCATGGTGATGCTTCTTCCCTAGTGCACTCTCTGCAGCTAGAATAGGGTTGCCATTTCTGGTATTCTGTCAGACACTGCCCATATCAGTCTGTTAGCTCTTTGTGTAGTTGGCTGGCCCTCTAGCTTCTTCAGGAAGCACCTTTGAAACCCTTACCTCCATGCAAACTGATTGTGATGGACCTTCAGTGGTCACATTCAAATATTACAAAGATTATCTGAAAATGAATCTGACAGTTTCCTGACAGAATAGAAGATTTCAGCTGCCTTAATCAGCCACTGGTAAGAATACAAATAGTTTTATCTTTCTGGTTGATACTGTCTTAGTTTCTTTATTTTGCTGTGATAAAATACCCTAATAAAAGCAACTTAAGGTGCTGAACAGTGGTGGCACACACCTTTAATCCCAGCACTCAGGAGGCAGAGGCTGGTGGATCTCTGTGAGTTCAAGGCCAACCTGGTCTACAAAGTGACCAGGACAGCCAGAGCTACGCAGAGAAACCCTATCTTTAAAAAAAAAAAAAAAAAAAAAAAAAAAAAAACTACATCCTAAGAATTTCTTCTCTGAAATTATGTTATATCAGGATTCAGAAAATCCAGTTGAGCCTTAAGTGGTGACACAGAAATCAATGTAATTGCTTCCCAAGGGAGCTCGCCCTCCCTCCCTCCCTCCCTTCCATCCTTCCTTCCTTTTTATTTCCATCCTTCCTTTCTTTTTTCTTTCTTCCTTCCTCCTTCCCTCCCTCTCTTTTTCTTTCTTTTTTTTTCCTTCCTCCCTCCTTCCTTTCTTTGTTTTTTTTTTTTTTCTCTTTTCTCTTTCTCTCCCATCTCTCCTTTTTTTTTTTTTTTTTTTTTTTCATTCTATTTTTAGCTGTTTTAAATGTTAGGTTGTCTAATCATGACTTAAAAGGAGGGTGTACTGTAGAAACAATTGCCCTGGCTTAGTTTTGCCACATAGATTCTTAGATTCTTTTCCAATGGAAGACAGGTGCCCTCCACGCGCCTTCCCATCTGCCATGTTGTAGTGAAGTCAGCGCCGTACATGAGTGAAGCCGTTCTGACTGCCCTCCTTGTCTTTCTACTTACAGATTTGTCTGAGTTGACACTGAATGGTAGTCTGGAAGAAAGGGCTGCTTTCGTTAACATGGTTACCTGCAGCCAGGTGCACTTCAAGTAACATGTGCTGAGGGTCCCTGCAAGGTATCTGTGTTCTCTCATATATGTTGTGATGTGTTGAGTGCCTGTGTTTGAGCTATTTTTACATTGTCAATATTATATCTACAGATCAGGAATACAGTTGTTCACCTGTCATGCCCTGAGTGGCCTACCAGTTATTACTTGACTTTGAAAGTCTCTATTCCTTTGTACCTTTTGTTGGCCACTCAATATGTCTGTCTAACTCTAGAGTCGGAGAAATGAAAATGATTTTTGAGTGGTAATATCTTTGCATTTGAAATCTGAAGAGTTCAATTTCAAAATCATTGATAAAAGAGAAAAATCATAAATAGACCCCAACTGGACATTAAAAGCAGTTTTGTTAATGAACAGTTTTCCTCAGCTCAATCTCATTGAGCCCCAAATATAAACACCTTTTAAAAAAACTGTACTTTGATTTTTAAAATCGAAAAGTAAGCACCACCAGGCTGTGTGTGTTTGAGATGATCTCACTGCATATCCCTAGCTGACCTGGAATTCATAGTATAGACCAGGCTGACCTGAAACACAGAGAGCCTGGGATGAAAGTGCTGAGATTAAAGGTGTGCAGTACCTTGCCCACCAGACCAAATAGTGAGTAAAATGCCTGACGTTACCATTCCCTCTTAAGCCCCATTTGCCCTCTAATAAATGGAGATTAATTTTTATCATAGTTAAAAATAAAGAGACTTTAAGACAGGGTCTTTCTGTGTAGTTCTGTCTTTCCTGGAGCTCACTTGTGTAGACCAGGCTGGCCTCAAACTCAGAGACATCTGCCTGCCTCTGTCTCCTGAGTTCTGATATTAAATGTGTGGACTACCTTGCCTGGCTTTTATTTAAATTACAGAGAAAAACAAAAACAGAAACCTTTGTTCCCTGGGGATGTTTGGTTTAGCATCACAGTTTGATATTTCAGTGTCTCTTTGCTGGCTGTGGCAGTGACTGCCATACATAGTCTCCCTCGGCACAGACATGTTCCCGTTTACTTGCTGCCTTCCTGCTTAGCTAATAATCTACAGCCTGAAAGGATTTTAGATTGATGGTAGAGGGCAGTGCTTGGGTGACAGTCATATGTAATCTTTCCAGATAAGTGAAAAATAATCCAAGTTACAAAACTATACACTATATTCCTAATTTTGAAAAATGAAATATGTACATGACTTATAGCAAAATATTAACACTGACTTCAAGACAGTTGAGATTACAGGTCACTTTCATTTTATTTATGCTTATTTTTATTTTCTGATTCTTAAATTCCAGCACAAACCAAAAAAGAAGCCGGGAGAAAGGTAATTTTCAGAGCCTAAAAAATAGACATTACATAAGTTTTTGAAGCAGAAAAGAAGTGTGATCCTGAAGATTCTCTGAAAGATGAAGGTGGAGATGAGATCCCATCTCAGCTGTGGCTCCTGAGGAGGAGTGTTAGCAGCAGGGCAGCAATGAGGATGGAGAGGGCACAGACTGTGGGTACCACAATCTCCGAAGCCACGTGCATGTGCCTAAGCAAGGGCTCTGAAATGGACAGAGAACATTCCACCAGAAGTGAATTTTGTTTTGAAGCAAAAACTAGAGAAGAGGTACCACTGTGGATTTTTTGTTTTTGTTTTTATATTTTTGTGGGGGAGGAACTCTGTAGACCAGACTGACCTCCGGCTCACAGATCCGCCTGCTTCTGCCTCCCAAGTGCTGGGACTAAAGGTGTGCGCCGCCGCCGCCGCCGCCGCCGCCGCCGCCGCCACCACCACCCAGTTTACCACTGTGGTATCTAATTGTCCCCATTTTTTAAAAAAGGAACCAAGCTAGTAAATCAAACCTATTTTGATTTTGTTTTGTTTTGTTTTTCTTTTGGTTTTTCGAGACAGGGTTTCTCTGTGTAGCTTTGCGCCTTTCCTGGAATTCACAGAGATCCACCTGGCTCTGCCTCCCGAGTGTTGGGATTAAAGGCGTGCGCCACCACCGCCCAGCTCAAACCTATTTTGAAATGGTGTTCTGGGGGCATAGTGCCGAGGCGGAGCGTTCACTTGGGTACACAGCGCTGGGGAATCCCTACCATCACAGAAAACTTACATGAGAGCTGGAAGTGTCACAAAATCTGGGAATGCCTAGATTTGGTTCTTTCACTGGAACTTCTGTGAGCCTAAGTATGGATAATATTTATGCTGGCATTAATTTGAAAATATTAGCATCCATATTCCATGGATCCTCTGGATTTTTACTGAGGAACTTGTAAAAGAACCCTTTTGGCTGGCTGTGGTGGTGCATGCCTTTAGTTCAGCACTGGAGAGGCAGAAGCAAGCGTGGTCTACAGACGGAGTTCCAGGACAGCCAAGGCTACAAAGAGAAACCCTGTCTCAAAAGAAAAAAATAAAGAAAGAAAGAATCCACTGGAATCATTTCTAGCTTTTTGAGTTTGTTATTCTTGATATATCTTATATACCCTTAAGAGATGTAGGAATGTCTATATTACAATTGCTAATGATAATTCTTAAGCTCATTTTCTTTGTTGACACAAAAATTCATTAAAAACTTAAACAATTATTTGACAATTCTTGTGTGGATTAAAGAGCTAAGAGGTATGTGCATCAATCCAGTAGGAGACCTTCATGTAACCCGCTTTGATTTGTCTACTGAGCACCCTGGACTGAAATAAACAGGCATGGCTATGTTCTCATGTACTCAGTCTTGTCAGCAAGTCCTGCATTATAGCATGTTACACTTACTTTGATTTGGTGGACTATGGTTTACACAGCCTGGTTGTTTTTTTTATTTATTTATTTGTTTATTTTTCTATTATCAGCTTGATACAATATAAATTCTTATCTTAATAGTGAAATGTTTCATTGAGGCTTGCTCAGTAATTGAGTAAAACCAAAACGTATTCTAAGCCACAGTCATCCTAGGGTCCTCCCCTGCTATGTAGCCTCCATGATTCTGTGGGTTGCAGTCTGATTGTTCTTTGCTTTATATCTAGAATCCACTTATGAGTGAGTACATACCATGTTTGTCCTTCTGGGTTTGGGTTACCTCACTCAGGATGATTTTTTCTAGTTCCATCCATTTGCATGGCCTGGTTATTTAGGAATGGGGATGCTGGTGCATGGTCATATACTAGTTCATTGAGAGGATTTCTACACCACCTGCTTTGATCCCACATTAAAGGATGATATTAAAATAGGAAGTGTATTTTTTTGATTATGCAGAAAAATGGATTTCAGAAACATTGGTGATATTCTGTATTTTGAATCTTTTTAGATCCCATTGCATAAGAAATGATACCTTTCTAGCCCAGTGATGGTGGCTCAGCCCCCAGGAGGCAGAGGCAGGCAGATCTGGGATCTGTGAGTTCAAGGCCAGTCTGGTCTACAGAGTGAGTTCCAGGAGAACCAAGGCTCAAAAAACTTTACAAAACTATGCAGAGAAAAAAAAACTAAAAAAAAAAAAAAAAAAAAAAAAAAAAAAAAAAAAAAAAAAAAAAAGGTGGGAGGGAATGATGCCTTTTAAAGTAGGGACAGTACTTTGTTCATTGTTGTTATCTTTGAGGCTTAAAATAACCCTCACATATTGGGGGGTACTGAATAATTATTTGCTGAAGATTGTGGGAGCCCGTTCTCGGGTTCCTTGTGGCTTTACCCAGCAGGTCCACATAGAGGATGATTAGGACCATGGGCCTGAGTGCAGGTGTCTGAGATGATCTGCACTTGGCTGTGCTGGGGGAGGAGGTCTTTTGCTCCACCCCTTGGCATCTCTATAAAAACCCTGGGGCAGAGACAATCAGGGCTCGTTGGAATAGGTTCCAGGCCCTCTCGAGGCTATCCTTTATTTTCTATCTGTTTATCTCCGCTATATAAATCCTTCTATCTAATATTTCCTGCTGCTCACACTCAAGAAAACTCTGGGGAACTGTGGGGGTGGTGGGTAAACGCCCCACAGAAGATCTCTTGCAAGCCTGTAATCTTTGGGAGGCAAGAGTAGGAGGATCACAAGTTCAAGGCCTATCTGGACTACTTAGTTTAAAGTCATCCTACAGCTGGGCAGTGGTGGCGCACGCCTTTATCCCAGCACTCAGGAGGCAGAGGCAGAGGCAGGCGGATCTCTGTGAGTTCAAGGCCAGCCAAACAAAGGGGGGAAAACAAGTCATCCCAGACAAGTTAGTGAAACTGTCTCAAAAGCAGGGCCAGGGCTGGAGAGACGGCTCAGTGGTTAAGAGTACCGGCAGCTCTCCCAGAGGACCGTGCTTGATTCCTTGCTCCACATGACAGCTCATCACTGTCACTAGTTCCAGGGGATCTGACACCATCTTCTATCCTCCTTGGGTATCAGACATGCACATGATACACAGACATACATGCAGACAAAACACCCATTCACATTAAAAAGAAAAAAAAATTTTTTTTTCGAGACAGGGTTTCCACTGTGTAGTTTTGGTGCCTGTCCTGGATCTTACTCTGTAGACCAGGCTGGCCTTGAACTTACAAAGATCCACCTGGCTCTGCTGGGATCAAAGGTGTGCACCACCACCGCCGCTTGGCTGTAAAAAAAAATTTTAAGTAGGGCTGATAAGATAACTTAGTGAGTAAAGGTCAGGCCACCCAAGCCTGACCACCCGAGCTCAATCCCTATAACCCATGTAGAGATGGAAGGAGAGAACACCACACTCTTGTCCTCTGAGTGCCTCACATGCTCTTACACACCACACACACACACACACACACACACACACACACACACTAGCAATAAATACAGTTGAAGTTTAAAAAGACAAAGTAAAAAGGATAGGGATATAGCTCAGTAGTAGAGCACTTAGTGGTTTTGAAGGTCTACGTTCAATCCCTAGCAATGCCACACACAAAAATTACTTGCTTAATTAATATAAGACCTGTGTTTTGCTTTTCTTCATTCCAGTTGATAATGGCTGGTTTTTCCTCTTCCACAATCTCATTTTAGCAAAACTGGTAGGCACATAAATTTACAGTATAATTCAAAAAGAATGACTAGAGTTCTTGAAATCGTTTTTTTTTTTGGGGGGGGGGGAATGGGGAATGGCTCAGTCAGGAAAGTGCTTGCCTTGTTTGACCTCTAGAACCCACATAAAAATGATAAAATGCAGTGTACTTGGAATCCTCCAGAGACAGGGAAGTAGAGACAGGAAGAGACCAGAGCTAGTGGCTAGCCAGTAGACTTAATTGATGAGCTCCAGGCCTGTGAGAAACTTATTCTCCAAGAGGTGATTGAAGTTCCTGTGTGTAACACTAGGTTGTCCTCTGGCCTGCACACAAAGGTCCACATACAGAAGAAGTCTGCCCTCCCCCATTTCTCATATACGCCTACATGCTTTCTCCTTCTGTCACATAATTTGTTTTGCTTTGTTTTTTGTTGCTGCTGTTGTTTTTTTAGGTAGAGTCTCTAGCCCACATTAGTCTGGAATTCATGTAGCCCATGTTTGCTTCAGTGTGTATATCTAGGTGAGTGGTGGGAGGGTGGGTAGGTAGTTAGGGAGGGAGGGAGGTGGAGGCTGGGAGTTTAGCTTGCTTAGTGTGTACAAAAGCCTGCCTTCTAGTAGTCCTAGCATCCAAAAATAAAACTTTAAAAATGCTTGTAAGACAAAAATTAGCATTAAAGAAAAAGACATTTTTAGTCATAAGTGGTTGGGAATATTGATATTAGGTAGATCATTTTGAGACTTTTGGTAATGCCATCACATGTAAAATTACATCGTTATCAAAGAAAAGAATGTCCTCACCTGTGGCAAGCATCTGGTTGTTGATGGAGCAAGTTTCCAAAGCGTTGAGACGCCAGCTTTCCACCTAATAAAAACACACTCAATAAGCAAGGATGCCTTATGTTTTTCTATGTTTGAAATTGTTTTTAGAATAAATGAAGGAATTTTTTAAATTAATATGCATTTGTATGTGTGTGTACATGTATATACAAGTGGAAGTCAGAGGACAACTTGCAGAAGTCAGTTCTCCCCTAACGCTTGGGGCCAAGGGATCAGACTTAGGTTGCCAGGCTTGGCAGCAAGAGCCTTTAACAGCTCTTCAGTCTCACCAAGACAAACAGTTTGGATTTTACTAATTTTTTTTGAGAAGATCTCATTGTAGACTGGCCACAAACTGGCTGTGTAGCTGAAGGTGACCTTGAGATACACCCCAGCTTTAGGTGTATTGACTATAGTACTGACAGAGTGAAGAGCTCAGGGCAGTAGTCACTGACCTCTAGGCCCACTGGATTCACTTTGAAGCAATTCTAGCAAGGAAGTCAGATTTGTTTTTAATTTTTTTCTTGGAACTGAGGACCAAACCCAGGGCCTTGTGCTTCCTAGGTAAGCACTCACCCACTGAGCTAAATCCCCAACCCCTAATTTTTTATTAAAACATTACTTATAGTCCATGCTTGTAGATGCAGTTACAGACAGACAAGGTAGAGCTGATGGGAAATTTGTAGGTTATTAGAACTATTTGGTAGTTTGTTTGTTCTAAGATTTTAATTTTTTTGTAATGTGCCTGTGTCTGCCCTTGGAGGCCAGAAGAGGGTGTTGGATCCCTGGACCTAGGAGGTGCAGGCAGTCGTGCTGACAGCTGAACAAGACTCCCTGGTTGATAGGTTTTCAAATCTCAAAGTTTGTTTCTCTTTAGTCTTGCCTTGGAGGCAGTGCATCTCTGCCATTGGGCGGAAAAGATATAGTCCTACATTTGACTCACAGGACTTGTTACATATTGAAGAGTGGGTAGTATTTGTTTGCATCAGGGTAACATTTTTAAATCACCAGAATTCCCATCTGAACATTTTTTTTTTTTTTGTCTTCCTGTTTGCATGTTCTAGATGCAAATAAAAACCCAAAGGGGTAGCTGGGGGAAAAGCAGCAGCATTGGAGCTGGAGCTCAGTGGTAGAAGCCCTGCCCGTCATATGTAAAACCAGGGCCAATCCCTGGTCCAACAACCCAGGAAACAATTGAAACCTTTATTGATTTGCTCTGTTAGAACCTACTACAGACAGGACTCTTGTCACCCTGATGCTCTGGCTGCAAGGGACGAAATCTTGAGGTGTGCTTACTCCATCCTAAGGAGGGGTGGTAAGAGGCAGGGGAGGCCATGTTCCCCATCCTCTTCCTTAGAAGGAGGAGGAGAGGTGTGGTGCCGGGTCTCAGTTATTAGTTCTTGTAAGAACGGAACAAATGTCATGGGAAGTTAGCCCTACCTCTCGTGGGTTTGGAAACCCGTTGGCTGTGATGATCTCCTTGTAATACTGAACTGAAGCCTTGGGGTAGCGAGGCTTGTTTCTCACATTGAATTCAACATAGTAGAATCCATATCTATCTGCATAGCCTTTCTCCCATTCAAACTTATCCAACAGAGACCAGGAAGTATACCCTTTTATATTCACACCATCATTTATAGCTGTGAAGACATGATTCCATTTTTAATACATTTCATTTGCTTAGAAGTACCTAGATAGTATTGAGTTGTTTCTGAGATTTAGAAGCAAGTTTTAGTTGATAGTAGATGATAGTTTGAATTTTGTCTAAATAGAAAAACAATAAGATAAATCTGTTTTATCTTACCTTTTAACATTTCATTTATGTACCCTTTGAGGTACTGAATTCTCCACTCATCACAGAATTGAGTGCAGTGTAACTTTTGAGATGCTCCGTTTTCTGTTACGTATATGGGAGGGTCGCCATATTGAGTCTGAAAGTGCATGTTAGCTCTTAGTAGGTATCACACACTTAATCGGTATCGGTGTCAAGTCACATTTATTGAGAGATGAGTGTGGGCAGGTGAGTTGATGTGGACGAATATAGTTCTCAATAAATTGACCTTATTTGGGAAAATGCACTTCAGGTCTTATCTTGCCCATAAATTCCATTTCAAATTAGGTGGGCCTTAAAAGGATTAAATGTACCTGAAAGAGGAGCAGTCATTTTCTTGCGTGGTGTTTACCAGTTATTTGTCCTCGGTGAGAGTAAATACTTCAGTAAATAGCCTCTTACCCGTGTGCATGTAAGCACCCCCAGTTGAACTCAATGGGTCACAAAGACATAAAGTAGGAGGCAAATTTGTTGGGAAGAAGTGGGCGAAGCAGGAGTGGGGGTGGGGAGAAGAGTTAATGGAAGGTGGACGTGATCAAAATGCAGCACATACACGTATGAAGTTATCGAAGGGCAAATTAAAACATTTGGGCTAGGGGCTATAGAGATGACTCAGAGCTGTTTTCCAGAGGATCCAGGGTCAGTCCCCAGCACAAACATGGCAGCTCACAACTTTCTGTAACTGCTTCCCTCTGCTAACCGCTGTGGGTACCAGCTCCCCTTGTAACTGGTGCACAGAGATGAAATGTCAGATTTTCCACTGTAATTGGGAGTGGGTGTTTACACAAGCATCAGTCTGCAAGGCCTATGTGTAGAGATGGTAAAGTGCAGGGGACTGGATTTACTGGCTTATTAACCTTTTTGTTGTTGTTTTGAGCTGTTTTTCTTTGTTGGAGGTGGAGTCTCATGCAGTTCAGACTGGCCTTGAGCTCAGTATGCATTGTGTAGAGGCTGACTAAATTCCTGACCTTCCTGCAGCCAGCCTCCCAAGGGCTGGGCTTGTAGTCATGTGCCTCCATACCTAGTGTTTGATCAGTTTTCCTATCTAGTCACCTGAGTGTTTGCTGGAAGAGACAAAACTCAGGTCTGAAAGTCTCAGATGGGACACAGCTTGATGGGATAAGTACCTGGGCAAAGTTGAGAAGCCTCCTGAATCCCCATGGCACATAATAGAGCCACGAAGACCCCATATCTGGCCAGTTAGGGTCCACAAGTTCTACTAAGTCACGGTCATTCTGGTAGCTGGGCCCCTGGTGGGAGGGGTATTTCCTTTGAGTGATGTATCGAGTGGTGAAGTGGCCCAGTCCCAGGAAGTCAGATGTGCCTTTAATGTAGCTCTTCTCCTGAAGGGAGAAGGTGGGCAACCTCGACATCTCCAGGCCTTGCTCTGCACTCTTTGTTCCTGGCAGGAGAGAATGTGAGAATTAACCAGGTCTTACTCGTCACAGTCATTTTGCATTTGTCCCACACAGTGCTGCTCAAACGGTGGTGTATAAGCTGGGCTTTGGAGCTGGAGCAGTGACTCTGCACAAAAGAGCATTACTGCTCTTGCCAAGGACCCAGGGTCCGCTCTCAGCACCCACATGGCAGCTCACAACTGGCCATAACTCCAATTCTAGGAGGTCCAACACCCTCTTCTGACATCCAAAGGCACAAGGTGCATGCATGGTGCACATATATACAATCAGACAAGCATTCGTACAAAAATAAAATCTGTTTTAAAAAGCTGAGCTTTAAAGAATCCAGCTGCAGCTGGGTATGGTGCATGCCTTTAATAGCAGCACTAGGGAGGCAGAGGCAGATGGGTCTCTCTGAGTTCCAGGCCAGCCAGGGCTGTTACACAGAGAAACCCTGTCTCAAAAAAAAAAAAAAAAAAAAAGAGGGGTTGGGGATTTAGATCAGTGGTAGAGTGCTTGCCTAGCAAGCTCAAGGCCCTGAGTTCGGTCCTTAGCTCCGGAAAAAAACAAAAAAAAAACAAAAAAAAAAAGAAAAGATCTAGATGCATAGAAAATACACCCTTGGCCTTTCAAACTGGAATTGTGACATTTGAACATCATCTAAATTTATCTTTTAAAGATTTATTTTGCTTTTATTATATGTATGTTTATGTGTGTGTCCACATGAGTACAGTGCCTGCTGAGATCAGAAGCAGATGTTGGCTCCTCTGGAGCTGGAGTTAACATGAGCTGTGGATGCTGGGAGCTGAACCCTGGTCCTCTAGAAGCAGCAAGTTCTCTTAACTGCTGAGTCATCTCCCTAGGCTCTATCAAAAAAGTTTCAAAATGTAATATTACTAACTATTTGTAGCTAGGAGTGTAGTTTAGTAGTAGAGTACTTGACAGGCATGTACAGGGCCCTGGATTGGACCCCTAGCAGCCAAAGAATGGAATATTTTCACTCACTAATGGTGAGTGGTATATGGACAGCTCCTTAGCTGTCTGAAAAAAGCAGGGTTGTATTGTTCCTTACATTGAAGCACTGGTAATGTGGGCTCCTAGAAGGGAACTGGAAGCCCAGTGGTGGTAGGAGAGTCATGGATGTTTTCCTACATGTTGACAGTGTAGGATGTGACAGGTTCTGCGCTGGGAAATTTTACCCTATTCTAGGATTGAAAAGGTACGTCTTCTAACTACCAAACTCCAAACCTCTTTATCCTGTCCTCGGCCCACACATGGAAAAGGATTTGTGTTCAGGTGTCTTCACTGTGAATTGAGTAGCAAAGGGTTGGAAACAACTTACACTTTTATTGCTAAGATGGCTAAATAAATGGTGGGAAACTGAGGATGTGGCATGCACAAGGCCTGGGTCTGATCCCCAGTACCACAGGTACTAATTATAGGGGCTGGAGAGAGGACTCTGCACTAGCACTTGCTGCCAGAGGACCTAGGTTCAGTTCCCACCACCCACAGGTGGCTCACAGCCATCTGCAACTCCAGTTCCAGAGGATCCAATGCCCTCTTCTAGCCTCCATGGATACCATGCATACATATGGTATATAGACATGCATATTGACAAAACATAAGATCTAAACCCCTCCTAAAATAATAATAATTATTGTTGAGTGGCCATCAGTATCACAGTGTGTAGCCATTAGAATAAACAAGGCAACACTTTATGCCAGCATAGAAAGATTCCCTAGATATATGTTCATGGAAGAAAATAACATTATATACTCTGGCAAACAAACTGACCTGATAGGACAGCAAGATCATTTGCAGGGAGACTATTGACTTCGATTCAAGAGTGAACGGTGTGTATTATTGATATCCTTAAAACATCATCATGGCCAGGCAGTGGTGGCACACACCTTTAATTCCAGCACTCAGGAGGCAGAGGCAGGTGAATCTCTGTGAGTTCGAGGCCAGCCTGGTCTACAAAGTAAGCTTAGGACAGACTACAAAAACCTGAGAAACCCTGTCTCGTTGGGGGCGGGGGAGGGAATCAGCATGTTATTGCTGTCAGTCAAATTTAGTAACTAGAAAAATCACCAGGCTCTATCCCTGCACTGTCTCATACAGTGGCTACTACCATATGCATCTACTAAATAGGGCTAGGTCCAATCATACTGAAGGTCTGAATTTTTTTAAGTTAACATACAAAATTATGGGTTTCATGATGTCATTTTTCATATGTTGTCCTATTATGCTATGGTAGTTTGAATGAAAGTGGCCCCATAGGCTCATAGAGACTGGCACTTGTGGAATATTGGTTTAAGATGTGTGACATTTTATGCCCTGGAATATTTGTTTAATGACATAAAGATTTTTTGCATTTGTTTTATGTTGCATTTGTTTGACTCTGTAAAGCTGTGTTACTTTGCCTGCCTAAAACAGGCAAATTGGTCGAATAAAGAGCTGAATGACTAATAGCTAGACAGAAGAGAGGGATAAGCGGGCTGCCAGGCAGAGAGAATAAATAGGAGGAGAAATCTAGGCTTGAGAGAGGAGCTAGGAACAAAAAAAGGAGAGGAGAATGCCAGGGGCCAGCAACCCAGCCACACAAACAGCCACGGAGTAAGAAGGGAAGAAAGATACATAGAATAAGGGTAAAAAGCCCAGAGGCAAAATGTGGAAGAAGAGAAACAGGTTGACTTAAGTTAGAAAAGGTGGCTAGAAATAAGCCAAGCTAAGTCTGGGCATTCATGAGTAAGAATAAGTCTCCATGTATTTATTTGAGAGCTGGGTGCCTGGCCCCCAAAGGAAACAAAACAAAACAAAAACTACAGAAACTATGGGGAAGTGTGGCCTTGTTGGAGGAAGTGTATCACTGGGGGTGGGCTTTGAGGTCTCATATGCTCAAGCCAGGCCTGGTGTGGCATTTTCTCTTCCTGCTGTGTACAGATTCAGTTGTAGAACTCTCAGCTCCTCTCCAGCACCATATCTGCCTATGTGTTGCCATGCTTCCTGCCATGATGATAATAGACTAGACCTCTGAACTGTAAGCCAGCCCCAATTAAATGTTTTCCTTTATAAAAGTTGCTGTGGTCATGGTGTCTCTTCACAGCAGTAGAAACCCTAATTAAGACATATGCTTTGTCTTTATTTGCCCTCTTGTGGAATATTAATTTAAGATGTGTTACATTCATTTATGCTATGGAATATTTGTTTAATTATGTAAAGACGTGTTACATTTGTTTGATTAAATAAAGTTAACCAGGGGTCAGGAGGCTGAGTCAGAAACTAGCTAACAGAAAGTGGTAGGGAGGAACCATGTGTAGCTAGGGTTCTTAAGTGGGGGTGGAGCAGAAAGATGTGCTATTTTAGGAGAGAAGGTTAGCTACTTTCTATTTAGCCTCTGAGCCAGCAGAATTTCACCTGAACCTTTGACTCCTGAGTTCTATGGAGCCATAGAGATCTAGGTAAAGTTCCCTTTAGCCATAATAGAACCATGCCTGAGGGAACAGAATTCCTGCCTGGCTATGGCCAATGAGGCTGAACTGCTACTGGTAGCTGTGGAGTTGCAATTGCCAGTTAGGACAGCAGTTGCTTAATTTAATGAAAAAAGAAAAACATTTGGCACCCCATGTTGGGTGCTAAAATATTGGTTGTTTTTGTTTTTAACTCCTTGGTTCTTTGCTCTTTTGGGTTGCCTGCCACCCAGCTCCCAAATACACACACAGTCTTATTCTTACTTATAAGTGCCCAGCCTTAGCTTGGCTTGTTTCTAGCCAACTTTCTTTCTTTCTTTTTTTTTTTTTTAAGATTTATTTATTTATTTTGTATACAGCATGTATGACCAGAATGTCCTACATGTACTACATGTAGCATGTACTACAGCTGATAAACTCCTTCAGTAAAGTGGCAGGATACAAGATCAACTCAAAAAAATCAGTAGCCCTCCTATACACAAATGATAAAAGGGCTGAGAAAGAAGTCAGAGAAACATCACCCTTTACAATAGCCACAAATAATATAAAATACCTT